TTTTAAAGTACTTTGTGTTTTTCATTCACTCAACAAGGATGGCAGTTTTTCCGAGATGGATGCTATCACATTTCTTCACAGAGGAAAACCTGGCAAGAAAGTAGAAATGATTGTCTTCAAAAAGGTGCAGACCTGATGATTATCAACAACATCGAAGAACAGGTGTGTGTGTGTGTGTGTGTGTGTTTGTGCATGAATCTGTGTGTTAGAGCGACCACAACCACATGTAGAATAAAGAGCAGAACTATTGAATGAAGGTCACTGAAGTGGCGGATACATCAATACATCAGTTTAATTTCTTATAATGTTGTTGTTTTTTAAACAAGACTTTTATAAGACAGTTTAACAAGGACATGTGGATTGGCCTGACCGACTCAGAGACGGAGGGGACATGGAAATGGGTGGATGGGACTCCAATGACCACAAGGTTCACGCATGTTTACAATCAAATTAAATCACTACCTGGTGCTTTTTGGCTTTTGTTCACTGATAAAAGCTTTTTTTTAATTTCAGGTACTGGTATTCTGGGGAGCCTAACGGTGGAAGCGGTGAAAACTGTTTGGAAATAAAGTACTATGATGAAGAGAACAGCTGGAACGATGAAGCATGTTCCAATTCACACTTCTGGGTCTGTGAAAAGAAATTCCCTCCATAACCCTCCATCCAAAACCATCAGACAGTGCTGAAAACTCAATACGTTCACTGGTTTTTATAGAGCGCCAAATCATAACAGAAGTTATCTAAGGTCATTTTTTAGATTTGTCAGTTTAGTGTGGATATAATGTGAAACTTGGTTATAACTGTGCTGCTGGGAAAGTGGCCTGTTAACATACAACTACTGCTTTGTTTGCAAAAATCATGAAAAGTAATATATTAAACATGCTGTCTGCATTTCTTATTAGTTGACGTGATACTCTGACTGAATTTAATCTATATCTAATCTATGAATGTTTACTTTAATGGCAGATTTAAAATAATGCAATGCATCTAATCATACAGAAATAATCCCCCTTAATCATCACTTCTGACCCATTAAAGTGCGTGGCAGTGTCTGGATCCACAGAGAGCCTGCCCTCTGCCTGTATTTTCTATTCTGTGTGTTGGGAACGTTTCCGGGGATCAATCTTGTGGTCGGTGGGTGAGTAGCCCCCAGACAGTGAAACTGGGGATGGCTTCCACCCACTGGAGAGCCCTGAAGGAGAGGATGGGACTGAAGAGCTACGTGGAGTTGGCCTGTGTTGTATAGGTCACCTAGGTGCTGGCAGTTAGTACGTAAGCTTGTTAAGTATCTGCTTTTCCATTATGATTGGTAGTTTCAACCGATGCACGTCTGTCCATCTGCACGTCTTGACCAAATAGCCCTAAAGGTCTGTGGTGCTGAGTTTGAGCTTAGAATTATTTTCTGGTAACACAATACTGGTTCAGGAAAAAGTGTTCAGTAACGCTTTAACAATGTATAAACCTTCAACTGAAGTGGACAATGAGCAGGGCAGCGATGAGGATGAAGGGTCGATCAGCAGCGATGACTTGGAGCTGAGCAGTGGTGATTTAGAGGGTGAAGAGCTGCTCTGTGCTGACTCGGTAGGGCAGGACTGCACAGTGGCATGAGGGCGGCGAGATCCAAGTCTCCTACTGAGACTTCACAGCTGAGGGACCAGCTGACAGGTTAGTTGGTGAAGAGCTAACAGATTGGGCTGATTTCATTACACAGTTAACAAAAAACACAGGAGACTGAACTGGAGTCAGCCCGACTGGCAGTTAGCGGGCTGAGTGTGTTAAGCAGGCCGGTGGGGAAGCAGCCAGGGAGCTAGCTGCTGAAGCGCTAGCAGGCCCGGAGAAAAGGCAGGTCATTTGAAAAAAAAAGGTCCAAAAGAAATTAAAAAAAACTGAAAACCACAAATCATAAAGTCTAAGAAAGGAGTTTTCAAAGTCTAGGACTCTGGGCCTCTGTCTGTACTAATTTGTTTCTGACAAAGAAAAGCAGTTCCCTAAAACTATCTCAAACTGTATCTCTGAACTCTCTCATCATTCAAAGACAAAGAAACTATCTCTTCAGTTTTCATCGACTAAAACTAATCCATTAGAAGGCAAGGCAAGTTTATTTGTATAGCACATTTCAACAAGGTAATTCAAAGTGCTTTACATAAAACATAAAAGCCACAGGGAAATATAAAAAAGTTTTAAAAGTTAAATAGAAAATTAAAACAGGCAGGTCTCCCACCTTTGCTTATTTTACTCCTTTGATTCCCCATCTCCCACTGTTTATTTATATCAAGGGAAACAAAATTCAGGAGGCCGGTGACAAATCAGAATATGTAAATATAATATAATATAATGCAGTAATCATTAGCTTGCTTTTGTAGCCTTTTTGAAAAAGGCAGATCTGTTTCTTCTGTATTTACACTTCATTGCATATTTTCTAATTGTGCAAATAAACCTTTGTCAAAGCATTTTTATTTGTTATTTAAGATTTCTTGTTGCTGTTTTTTAAAAACCTTTTACCAAATGGTTTCAAAACGAGGTGGAGACACATCCCCAGCATCCCCAGAGTAAATGACACCTATGACCCCACCTCCCTGCTCCCTCCCTACAGGTCGAGCTACTCCATGCTTTCCCATTCACCTCCAGTCTCCTCCTCTCTGTGCCTCGGCCCTGCCACTCTGCTCCGCTGTCACACACCTCCTCCTCTGCCTGACAGTGGCCACGCCTCTCCTTTACTCCTTCAAGTGCCAGTGGCTGCATAGTGTCGGGTACTGCAGCTGATGCTGAAGCTACTGCAGCCCCGGTAGCAAACATATCGGTTATTTTCACACATTCGGCGGCAGCCATCTCAAGATTTACAGAAACAATTCCAAAAACAATCTATTTTTCATTTTCAACAAGTAACAATAAGTCAGTAAAGGCAGGTTTGGACCCAAAAGCAAAAACAACAGACCAGGCAGTAAGATGTTTTTTTAACTTGTCTAAAAATTGGCAGGAGTCATGAAATCAGTCAGGTAAACAAAGAACGACAGACTTCACCAGGCAGGCACAAGGTAAAGAGCCAGGGATATAAGTCCCAGGCAGGAAATGCTGCTGACAGGTGAGTGAGTCAGTGTAGCAGGGAGACGAGCAGACTGAGAGAAAATAATGACCAGAATCAAGTTGGGTGTTGTGACTTTTTATCAGTTTGTTTCTGTAGATCTGCATTTACTAGTATTCTTTTAGCAGTTACACTTCCTGGAGCGCACACAAAAACAAAAGTAACAGATTACATGATGTTTATTTAGACAACAAAAGTTCAAATTCAATCAGAGCCAGAAAACATTTTGATTCTCTGAGAGTAAAGTGTTTACAAACTGAAATTACATCATCAAGACTGAAATAACTCTTCAGACCGAACCCAGAAACTACTGATGATTATAAAAAGGTTAAAGAATCCCACAACAGGAAGCAACGTGTTGGTATAGTGGATACTTGACATGTTATATTGTGAGAGTTTAATTAACCTCAAACAGTCTGAAAGTAAAAGTTGGAACAATAAACTTACATTCCTGAACGTCACAGAGAAATCTCAGTGTGACAGATTTTGATATCAGAGGTTTCAGCATCACCAGCTGAACCAATATAAAAATATGGGAAGAGTTTCTCAGTGAAAGTGTCTCTGTGAGTGTAGATGTGAGTCATGTCTTCAGGGTTGTAGAAGGACACCTTCCTCTTGTCATAGTCCAGCTGGACTCTGATCCTCTGGAGACTCTTCTTCACTCCGACAGTCTTACCAACAACATCAGTGTATTTTCCTCTGCGATACGATAAACACCAGAATCCATATTTTGGTGAGGGAAATCTCTCTCCCTTCCTGTCAACTGACTCTTTAGCCAAACCTACAGTCCAGTCAGGATGGTCTCCCACCTCCACCTCCCAGCTGTGTTTCCCTGAGCTGAAGCCCTCAGAGCCCAGAACTTCTGCAAAGTAAGTGAATCTCTCTGGATTGTCAGGAAGCTGCTGCTTTGTGTCTCCATGTCTCACACTGGTCAGATCATCAGACAGATAGAGCCAGCAGTTTGCAGTGTTTGGGTCCAGAATGACAGGACTGAAGTGGACCTTGTCCTTCATCTTCTCCCAGACTCTGAAGGACAGGTTGCCCAGGTGTTTGGCCACATCTATCAGCGCTCCTGAGAGCAGCTGTGGATCTGACAGTGAGCGCTGGACTCTGGCTCTGGTCTGAGTGGCTTTATAACTGCTGAGGAATGGCACGCTGGGTTTCTGCAGCTCTTCTTCAACAGCAGAGATCCTGTCTGACAGAGAGGAGATCTGCTCCTGAATCTTCTTCATCTCTCTGCTCACAGTCTTCCTCTTCTGCTCCTCTTCCTCCCTCAGAGCTGCCAGTCTGGACTCCTCTTCCTCTTTCAGGAACTGGTGGAGCTTGTTGAACTCTGCTCTGATCTGCCTCTCTGTGGACAACAGCTGCTTCTTGGACTGTTGAATCACTTCATTGTATGTTTCCTCCACTTGTTTGTATTTGTCCCTCTTGTCCTGCAGAGACTCTAAGTCAGATTTCAGCTGCTCCTTCAGGTCCCGGACTGCTTGTTCTACAGGAACCACCTTGTGACTCTGGTGGAGAGAAAACTCACAGACAGGACACACAGCTCTCTGCTCGTCCTCACAGAACAATCTAGGCTCTTCTTTATGTTTACTACACACCTCCTCCACCTTCTTCTCTCCTTTTTCTTTCTCAGATGATCCAGCTTTCTGTCTCCCAGCAAAGGAGTCAGCCAGTTCCTTCAGTGGAAAGTTCAAATCTGGATAACCCTTTGATGATTTTCTTTTACAAATGGGACAGTTTTTGTTTCCAGCTTGTTCCCAGAATTTCTGCAGGCAGCTTGAACAGAAGCTGTGGTTGCAGCTCAGAGACACAGGATCTCTGAAAGTCTCTGAACACACGTGGCAGTTCAGGTAACTTTCAACAAGAGTTATTTTCTCAGCCATTTGATACTGAAGTTATTTTTCCACAGACTCACCGAGTGAACGTCTCTTCCCTTGATTGTTTCAAATACTCCAAACGTGTGTTTTCCAGCAGAGATCTCTCACCCTGTGATGGCGTCTCAGCTCTGTTCAACAATGTCCAAATCTACTGTCAGTTGAACTATCACACTCTCAGTCTATGATCTCTCCTCTGTCACGGGCTGAATGAACAGCAGGAAGTGTTGCCATGTCATCTTCTCACCAGCAGATGGCGCAGTCAGGATGTCTGTCAGAGTCAGTACAGGACAGTTTCCATGTACAGGTGTCTGTAGGAAGACAAACACAAAACGAAAATTGGGTAAAAAAATTGTCTGTAATTTTCTTTCACTAAAAAAATTATTAAAATGCTCAAAAAATGCAAAACTGTGTTCATTGAATCCAGTTGAAATGCATTTATTAATTTAGCTGACTCTTTTATCCAAAGCGACTTACAATTGCTATACATGTCAGAGGTCTCACGCCTCTGGAACAACTAGGGGTTAAGTGTCTTGCTCAGGGACACATTGGTGGATGGGTCACAGTGGGGGATTGAACCAAAGTTTCTCACACCAAAGGCATAGTCTTAGCCATTGCGCAATCGCCACCCGCCAATATATATAAATAAATAAACTGAATATAGAACAACCTGTTAACATGAAAGCAACGGAAAGCTTTGTTAAAATTTCAAATCATTTCAACTTGTTCTCATCCCTCAGTGTAAGCGTCTGTAAAATTCACAGGGCAAATATTTTAAACACCATTAACTATTATTAGCCTATTATTTTGTAAACACTGTTACAGTAAATGTACAAATAATAATCATGATACAAAATCCAGAAAATAAAAGTCTTTCAGTCGAGGTCTATTTGTTTTTGTTTGTTCTGGCACATTTTCTCTGCCTTTCGTTCAGTTATTCTCTTTACCATTTTACCTACATTAAGAATCACACGTCATGCATTGGTCAGTTAAATCCAGAGGTGGAAACAGTCCAAAAATGTTCTACTTAAGTAAGAGTATGATTACTTTGATGAACATTTACTTAAGTACAAGTGTAAATGACGAAGAATAAGGTTTTAAATGTTTGCTGTAATGCTTTGTCTTTATTTTTAGTTTCCTGTTTAACCGGAAGTTTATTGTGAAAGGACACTATACACGTGTAAGAAACGGAAATTAAAAAGAGAACAAGGGAAAATAGTACCGAAGCTGTAAGGGCACCTAGAGAGAAAAAGAGAAAGAGAAGTGTTAAAATGAATGGGGAGAGTAAGATAAAAGTACTTTAGCAGCAGTCCGGCTACAAGGTATGTTTACTGCTATAGTTTGTGTCTGAGTAAATTTAAGTGTATTTTGTGAAAATTGCTAACTTTCCGGTTATATGTTAAGCTAATCCCTTGTCTGTAAGACATCCTGCATGTCTTATTTTCTGTCTGTAAATTTCTGTTTAGCTCTTACATTGCTCACTGCAAGGAAGTTCAATAAAAGACAAGAGACCATCAGTCAAGGCTCAAAGAGATCATGTTGCACCAACACCTGAAAAATGGATGCATGTGAAGCAGTAACGGGTGACATGCACTCTCCATTTATGGTTCCACTGCTGCGCAGTCAAATATTTCACATCATTCCATCACCTCATACATCGCATCGACACGAGCCGATGAAGTGGCAGAGTTTGCCGCAAAGGAGGCCAAGTACAAGATTGTGCAAGATGAAAGAAATCGAATGGAAAGGATAAAAGCTCTAGAAAACCAGCACAAAAAAGAACTGGAACAAGAAAGATCTGAGCTAGATGGTCTACAGGCTGAAAAGGAAATGGAGGCAACTCGAGCCAGATTTGAAGCCTACAGCAGAGAAATTACACAGATGGGTGGCATGCAGTCAGTTAAGGATGAACAGGTGAGCCCAGATATCTCATCCCCATGCAACACACCTATCTAACACAGCCATGTCTTCACCCCCTGATATTGCTCAGCTAGCACAAGCTGTTCAGGACAGTATTACAATGAACAGACTTCCCATGCCAGAGCCAACAGTGTTCAGTGGTGAGCCGATCCCCTTTATTGAATGGAAAGCTTCCTTCATATCGCTGATAGACAAAAGGGGCATTTCTGCCGCTGATAAACTGTTTTTATCTGAAGAAGTACATCAGTGGCCCAGCTCGTAAATGCTTAGAAGGCACCTTTTTCAGAAATGATGAAGAAGTTTACCAGGATGCTTGGAAAAAAACTCAATCAGCGATACGGCCAGGCTTTCGTTGTCCAAAGAGCATTTAGAGAGAAGCTATCAAGATGGCCAGAAATACAGTCTAAAGATGCTGAAGGACTAAGAAGCTTTGCAGATTTCATAAATGCTTGCTTGCTAGCTATGCCGTGTGTAAAGGGCCTGGAGATACTGAACGATTGTGCGGAAAATCAGAAAATGTTACAGAAACTGCCTGAGTGGGCAGCAGCCAGATGGAACCCGCCATGTCACAAAGGCCCTGATGGAATCTAAGGACTTTCCCAGTTTCAGTGATTTTGCCTCCTCCTTAATGTTGGAGGCCGAAGTCGCTTGTAATCCAGTCACCTACATTTATGCACTTCACTCTTTGGAGTCACACAGCGACAAAGGGAATCCAAGAGACATCAAGAGGAACGAGGCAAGTGTCTTCAGCACAGGAACAGCTGTACACTGCATTAAGCAAACGTGGGATCTCACTGTATCTTATGCCAAAACATCCGTCCACTCCACGAGTGCCCAAACCTTATAAAAAGGTCACTGGCTGACAGAAGGACATATGTTAAGGACAATAAACTGCGTTATGGCTGTTTGAAACAAGGTCACAGTGTGAAAGATTGCCGACGTCGCCTCCTCTGTGACACCTGTACAAGGGGGCATCCAACCTGCCTTCAGGATTACAATTACACCAAGGATGCAAAAGGAGAAAAACAGAGTAGGGAACATGCAGGACAAAACAACACATTGGAGACAACAGCTGCCACGTCACTGAATGTTGCCAGGGAAGGACAATCTGCTGCAACCTCAATGATCGTTCCAGTGCAAACCCACAAAAAGAAAAACTTGTCTATGCTTTGTTAGACACCCAAAGTGACACTGCTTTGATTGATGAAGAAGTGAGTCGTGAACTGCAAGTAGACGCTTGTTCAGTGAAACTAAAACCAACCACCATGTTGGGAGACGATGCGATTGTAAGCAGCAAAAAGGTGTCGGGTCTCTAATACTTCTTGGCAATAAATCTTTTACCATTAGAAAACCTATTTGTCCCTTTTATGTCCCCAGGGGAACAACGCCAGCGGATTTAATTCCCACTTTTCTTGCGTCAGTGGAATTATTGGACATTTTGGTGAAGGGCCCTCTCGTTGTCGTTCGCTGCCGGGGACTCCGCACACCACTACTGGCAATATTTCTGTCCAACATGCGCTCACTGTGCAACAAACTGGACGAACTTCAGCTTCTGGTGGGAAAAACACTTTTATTCATCTTCTGTTCAGTGCTTCACAGAGACGTGGCTGTCTGAACTGATACCGGACTCCGCGCTGCCAACTGTACAGAGCGGACCGCGACACAGAACTCTCCAGCAAAACAAAAGGTGGAGGCGTCTGTTTTCATTTTAACAATGGCTGGTGTACCGATATGACAGTGATTCAGCAGAACTGTTCTCCTAATCTGGAATTTCTTATCATGAACTGTAAACCTTTTACTCCCCCCATGAGTTTGCTTCATTCGCTCTGGTTGGTGTTTACATCTCGCCGCACGCTGGCCGACCGGATACTGTGTGTGGAGCAGACAAACCCGGACTCCCTTGTTATTGTTCTCGGTGACTTTAACAGAGGAAATCTCACCCAAGAACTCCCCAAATACAGACAGTTAATAAAGTGTCCAACCAGAGAGGGGAACACTTTGGGTCACTGCTACACCACATTTAGAGGTGCCTATCACGCCGTCACACGCACTCCAGTGGGACACTCTGATTATGTGATGGTCCATGTGATTCCAAAAACCCTGGTTTACAGCTAAGCTCAGACCGCTACGGTTGGAAAAAGAGGAGACATTTAGGAGTGGTGACAGGGCCGGGTGCAGGGCATCAAAGTACGGGTTTAGCAGGGAGGTGCAAGAAGCTAAATGACTGTACTCAGAGAGACTAAGTTCTCTGCAAACGACGCCACTTCTGTCTGGAGGGGGTTCAGCTAGATCATTAACTATAAACCCAAAGTCCTCCATTCCATAAACGATTCTCGCCTGGCAAAGAGTCAATCGGACTCCATCCCCCGAGACTCCTCCGCTCAGCTTCAGCCTCAGTCCACCACATCTTCCCCTCCCTCCTCAGAGCTGGCCAGCTCCACCCCCTCCCCTCCTCTCTCCATCATAGAGAGAGATGTCAACGGTCTTTTCAGGAGGCAGAAACCCCGCAAAGCAGCTGGGCGGACTCTGTCTCCCCATCCACCCTGAGGCACTGTGCTGATCAGCTGTCACATTTTTAACACCTCACTGGAGACATGCCTTGTGCCAGCCTGCTTCAAAGCCTCCACCATCATCCCTGTCCCCAAGAAACCAAGGACCACTGGACTAAACGACTACAGACCCGTCACCCTGACCTCTGCGGTTATGAAGTCCTTTGAACGCCTTGTGTTCTCCCACCTTAAATCCATTACAGACCCTCTCCTTGGAGAGGAAGCAACACGTGAAGCTGGGAAAACATGTCTCTGATTCCAGGACCATCAGCACCGGTTCCCCTCTAGGCTGCGTTCTTTCCCCCCCTTCTCTTCTCCCTGTACACCAACAGCTGCACCTCCAGTCACCAGTCTGTCAAGCTCCTGAAGTTTGTGGACGACACCACCCTCATTGGGTTTCTCTCTGGTGGGGATGAATCCGCCTACAGGGGGAAGAGCGACCATCTGGTGACCTGGTGCAGCCAGAACAGTCTGGAGCTCAACGCTCTGAAGACAGTGGAGATGGTCGAGGACTTCAGAAAGAGCACAGCCCCACCCTCCCCCATCATCCTGTGTGACCCCCCAGTCACCACTGTGGACTCCTTCCGCTTCCTGGGCACCATCATCTCCCAGGACCTCAAGTGGGAGCTGAACATCACCTCCCTCACCGAGAAGGCCCAGCAGAGGATGTACTTCCTGTGGCAGCTGAAGAAGTTCACTTCTACACCGCCATCATTGAGTCCATCCTCACCTCCTCCATCACCATCTGGTACGCTGCTGCCACCGCCAGGGACAAGGGCAGGCTGCAGCGCATCATTCGCTCCGCAGAGAAGGTGATTGGCTGCAATCTTCCATCACTTCTGGACCTGTACGCCTCCAGGACTCTGAGGCGAGCAGGAAAGATTGCAGCTGACTCCTCCCACCACGGACACAAACTGTTTCAGACTCTCCCCTCTGGCAGGAGGCTGCGGTCCATCAGGACCAAAACCTCTCGCCACAAAAACAGTTTCTTCCCATTTGCAACTAGCCTCATCAACAAGGCCCGGGTCCCCCACTGACACTCCCCCCATGGAAATGATACAAATGTCTCTGCACATGTAAATGTTATTTCATCTCGTGTCGTGCACAGACCTGGCACGTTGCACATATTTGTTGTTGATTGTTGATCTTTGTTGTTGTATATTTGTATGTTGTCAGTTTATATTTATATGTACACAATATTCTCTTGCGTTACTTCTGCACAGCACAGACCCAGAATAATGTACATGTATATATCTGCAACGTTGTTCTTCCATTCCATATTTATATATTTCTACATTTATTTATGTTGACTGTATGTTTGTCTACGTGTAGCTTTTTAACGTGTCATTTCACATCTTGGACTGCATTGACTTATATTGTGCATAAACGGTGAGCCATTTTACATCTACTATCACAGGTAAAAACATCAGGAGTGGGATATAAATAACCATAAAAGTCCAACACTAAGGTGGTGGAGTTGGTGGACAGTGAGTTTGTCCCTGACCCAGGAGACCAACATTCGCTGTCTTTCATGTGAAAGAAAAATTAAATAATAAGACAACTTAAGTTACGTAACTCACGTAAGTTACGTTACATTGGTACAATGCTACATTGTGTTAGCTACGTTGTAACGTTAGCCATGTTAGGTAAATACACGCCATCCCATGATATCTGGGCGGCTGTGGCTCAGGAGGTTGAGCGGGTCGCCCGTTAATCGGAAGGTCGGCGGTTTAATCCCCGGCTCCTCCAGGGTGCATGTCGAAGTGTCCTTGGGCAAGATACTGAACCCTGAATAGTCCCTGGTATGAATGTGTGTGAATGTTAGTTTCTGGTTGAATGGTGAATGCGATGTAGTGTAAAAGCGCTTTGAGTGGTCAAAAAGACTAGAAAGTTGCTCAGGGGCGTGCGACCTCTGACATATATAGCAATTTTAAGTTGCTTTGGATGAAAGCGTCAGCTAAATGAATGAATGTAAATGCATATCACATTGTGCTGTGGAGGCAGCCAATATGGTTGTGTTTTACTGTCAAGAAGAATTGTTGCTACAAAGAATTAAGAAATATTCTACCAAACACAAATTTTCTTACTTTTTGTGCATATATATGGACAGTTAACTCTGACATTATTTAATTAAAGTCATATAACTTATATATATATAAATTTCAGCTTTGATTTCCTGTTTTATCCTCTTTACACTGGCTCCCACTATATTTTAGAACAGATTTGAGGATTTTACGGATTACATTTAAGGCCCCTTAATGGCCTTAATATAAAATCCTGACTGCTGATGTTAAGTTAAATGATCCGTTCTCCTTCTGAACTTTACCGACAGACTGCATTTACTGTTTCTATGAAGTTTTAGTTGAGTTCACTCACCTGCTGAAAGTCTTGCCTACATGTTCTTCCTCATATCTAAATGATGACTGTGACTATCTTTCACCAGATCATCTAAAGAACACATTTCCTTGAAACCTTGACAGACTGAGCCCCCCGACTCACATCACTGTTGTCATGTAATAAAAGTAAAGTGGACATGAAGTCTGTGTGCAGGATGACTCTTCTTTTTTACAGAAATACAATTAGAAACTCTAACACTGAAACACTAAACAATAATACATGTTGGTCCTGTAGAACTGAGAAAGAGGAAAACTATTCTTCCTCCATTCGGATTTACACAACCTGAAATTATAGCTGAAGTCAGCACATAAAACTAAAGCTGATTCTTTCTGATTGCTCTGTATAAAATCTGACTGGACTCACCAGATGTTGTCAAAATGTCTCTGCTGGAATCATCACAGGAAACTCAACTGGAGAGCAGCAAGATATCTGAATAACAGGCAAAAGTAAGGTTTACTTCTGTATATTAAAATACATTAAAGACAGGAGTGACTTTTATAACTAGTGTGATCACTAGAGTGTGTGTGTGGATTAACTGGACTAACTTGTTCTCTGTAAAATGGAGGACTTATATAAACCATGCAGGCTGTCAGCTGAAGTTAACTTGAGACCAACAAGGAAATGTTCCTGTAAAAGTAATAAATATGAACACCTTTCAGTTTAACTTTGACTTTATTTAATTAGAGTTATAGAACTCCTCTTTCTGGTTCTGTTTAACCAGTGAACTCTGAAATGTTTAATCCTGTTTTATCCTCTTTACACTGGCTCCCAGTATGTTTTAGAACAGATTTAAAAGTTTTACTGATTACTTTAAAGGCTCTTCATGATCCTCGGGTAAAAGTCTGTTGTCTGTTCCAGAGGCTGAAAACTAAAGTAAACAGAGTGTTTACTGACCGAGGACCTCAGGACGGATTTTGAAAAAACTATTAAATTAAACTCAGAGAAACCAGCTGGAATCATCGTTTCAGATCAAAGTAAAGAAAATGTGACTGTTTGATAGCTGTATATTTCTGCTGAACACCTGAACACATTTTCCTGAAGTCACAGTTAATTATCTGAAACTGACGGTGTGTCAGATCATATTTCTGTCTCTCAGTATTTATATTTTATATGAATATATGAAGTTTTAGTCGAGTTCACTCACCTGCTGAAAGTCTTGCTGTCTTCACACCCAGACAATTAAAGTCAAAGTAAAACAGGTTCAAGAAAAAAAACCAAGACGTCAGAACAGATCACATGATCAGATGTTTCTAAATATTTCAGAAAGGACAAAAGAAACGTGTTTTTACATGTGAATGAGTCTCAAAGGGAAAACTGTATTTAGTGTTAATGTAACCACTTTGAGTGAAATTATCCAAATCACTATTATTATTATTATTATTATTATTATATCATCATCTGCAGCTTCTTATATGTAAAAATTATTGATTTTTTATACTCATCTCTAAAGATATTTTAAATAGTGAGAAATGAATTTAGACCTCAAACTAATTTTCAACATGTTTATTTCTTTGATGTGGAGTTCAGCTTTTCTTCACACAGTATGTTTTTATATTAAGTCCTGTAGTATCTGAAGTGGGTGAGGCCTGAAAAACAACATGCCAGGTAAATAAATACCTACATGTTCTTCCTCATACCTGAAATAACGACTGATTATGTTTCATCAGCTGAAGAACTCAAACACATTTCCATGAAAGCTTGACAGACGGCTCAGAGGAAGATTCACATTAAAGTGGTGGAACATGAAGTCTGTGTGCAGGAGGTCTCTCTTTATCACAACAATAAAAACTCTCTCTCATTGTAAACACTGTGCAAATGTTGTTTTTCCTTCAGCTCCTGTAGTTGCACAGAGACAAAAACGTGTAAAAATTTGTTCTGGAGATGATAGTTGTTTCAAACATCGAACCAGGCAGGCAGATGATAAAGTGTCCATATTTTACATCATTATACATTATTAAATTCCTGACAGTCTGCCCATGACATATTTCAAATCATACAAGCACACAACAAACACATAAGAGGTGCAGATACTTTTAACAGAAACCTGCCAAAATCAGGAACATCTGGTCTCAAAATGATGCAGATAATCTAGTCCATGCATTTGCTACTTACTGCAATCCTTTATTATCAGGCTGCTTGAATAAGTCCGAATCTTCAGCTGATCCAGAACGCTGCAGCACGTCTTCTGACAGGAACCAGGAAAAGAAATCACATTTCTCCTGTTTTAGCTTCTCTGCACTGGCTGCCTGTAAAATCCAGATGTTACGTCCTAAGGTCTAGGGTTAACCTGGACGCAGCACGAGGTGAGACTCCCCACCCTTCCCACTCCCAAGCAAGGCCAGAAAAAAAGGGAACTACACGTTAGCGGTTTTATTTTACTCAGATGAGCAGTGCCCAAAACACTCTATGTACCCTAAAACCTCCCTAAACCAAAACAAGTGTAAAGAAAAGACAAAGCTCTAGACCAGACTTCTAACACTAAAACATCAGGAAAAAAAGAGCCTATTTAAACAGAAACAAGCTTCTCACTCCTACTGATAGTGCTGATAGCAAAAACAATAAAGCTACAACAAAGAAGCAAACAAAATGGCTCAGGCCAACAAAACAAGGGTGTGAGACAATAATCAGGATCACTGAGGTGCTGGTTAATCTGCTCACACAGACTAATATGCTCAATACACAGGTTTCTCTACCTAAGATTCAAATACACAGTACACAGGTTTTACGCCGGTGCATGTTGGGAATAGCAGAGTGAAGAGAGCAGAGTTCTGTCAGATGGGGATTAAAACAGCTGCTGTCATTAGGCGACCAATCAGAAGGCAGCAATCAGCTCCGCTGGACCAACCTGGGGTGCCCACCTGTTCTGCATTACCTGCATACACAGAACAGCTGACAGTGCAGGATGAGAAAGATGCAAATGACAAAATATGACGCCAGGGTCATAACACAGAATTTAAAGTTCTTCTTCTCACCTACAAAGCTCTTAATGGTCAGACACCATCTTATCTTAAAGAGCTCACATCTTCCCACGATGCACTGAGCTCTGCTCTCCCTCTGCATCTGTATGAAACCTCATCCTGTTCATGCATGTTACTGACTTTACTTCTTCCCTTTCAGAAAATGGAGGCATCCATATAGAAAAGAAGCTCAAACAAACTCCCTTGTAAGTGTTGTTATGGGTAAAGAATTGTGATCAGCTACAAAATGAAGCACAGAAAGAGCCCTCCGTCATTTACACTGGAGAAACAACAAGGGAGCGTAAGCAAGAGCCTTACCTTAGCTAGAAAAATGCACACTTTCATGCAAACTGCAACTCACACACACACACACACACACACACACACACGTTTGTTCCACTATTCCTGTGGGGACATCCCGCTGACATAATGCATAACCTGCTAATTGAACCGTAAAACAAGTCTTAGTAAAAAGCAGTCTCAACACGTGTGGACGTCACAGTGAGCTATAATTATTCTAATTCCTTTGAGATGATTTGACTAAAGTTAGAGTTTCTGAGATCCGCTGGACAAACAGACTGTGAAGGAAATGTGATCCTGCTAAGAGGTAGGCTAGTACTAGTGATCAACAGCAAACAGTAATATGCATGGAACTAAGTGTCAGAAAGTGGAAATAAAAGGGTTGAAAATGACCAGGCTGTGAACAAAACGTGTACTTTGTCTCCGTCTTGTGACGTTTACGGGAAGAAAAATGCTGTACATTCAATATGCTGATGACATTATGCACATGTGAGCATGTTGTCCCTGAGACTGCATTAAGTAGGTTACAACATGAATCACATGTGACAGTGAAAGCAAACAATGTTTTCTTCTTGGGAACGCTTCTCCATTTCTACACCCTTCATACACTGTTAGTGTTATACAGTCCTGCTGACTGACTCAACTCCTTTAAAGAACCGAATCTTTAGTGAAACTCTTAATTCTCCTAAAGAGCAAATAATTCAGACGCTACATCTCTGTCTGTATAACCCTCAGTGCTCCCTGTCTGTAACAGACCCCAGTAACAACATACTGTTACACCTTCAAATTATAATTATGATTCTGCTTGTTTTTAACAAATACAAAGTGGAAAAGTCAGAAAATATATTTTATTTTAAACTCTGAACTGCCTTTTTAGAGTTTATAATCATGCAGTGAAGTTGTAGGAGGGTAAGTTGCACAGCTCTTCTCCAATACGCTTTATTCATCACATGTTTGTTTCTTTAGCCTTCTTTAAGGTGGAATGAGGTTGTTTCAGGTTTCTTTTAGACAGTCAGTTAATCCGTCATGTGACTTTACAAACTGACATTTGAACTAAATTAGTTTGGCTGTCCACAAATGTTGACGTTGAAAGAGTTTCAGTGAAGAATTAGTTGTTTTGAAAATAAATACATTTAGATTTAACTGTTATCTGCAATTTAATTTGTATTTTCAGTCACATGACTGTTTAAAATATTTATGTAAAGGAAAAAGGAATAAAAACTGCTGGTGGTTTAATTACACATCATGTGAAGCAGCTGATGTACATTTACTTTATTAAGAAATAGCTGAAGCAATAAAAAAAACATTAAACTAAATTGTACTGCTGGTATTTTCTTTATGTTGATCATAAACTGGAGATTTATCACGTATCATGTTTATTTATCATGTTACTGATGATGTACTCACTACAAACTGCAGTATAAAGAAGCACTGTAAGAATTAAGGTCCAAATTAAAATTGAAATCAATTTGAACAGTTTTTTCTAAAAAGAAATAAAACAACAGACCCAAACCTGAAATAACTCAAAAGACTCAAAAGCATCAAAAAATATAACTGATGATGTTAAAAAGAGGAAAGTGAAACGCAGCATTTGGTACAGTGGATACAAACTACTGTACAATGTTGTTTGACTCCAGATGTTGATAACCAGGAGAACTTTGTCTCCTGATGACGTCATACAGTTTCAGCATTTTCTTGGAGATTAAACTTTATTTAAGAGGCAGCTCAACTAACACACTACTACTATTTCTTTTTGAAAAGCCACAAACTCCATGAAGAAGTAAAATGAATATCTAAAGCAGGAGTTCCAACCTTTAATACATTTTGACTGAACTGAACTAAAGTGAATCCTGAAGTGAACAGAAGATCCAGAAATCTCTCAAAGTAAAACTGATGTTTGATGATGATTAAAGTTAAAGAATCCCACAACAGGAAGCAACGTGTTGGTATAGTGGATACTTGACATGTTATATTGTGGTCTGATTAAAAACCAGATGCTGCTGACCAGGCTAACATGTTAGAATCTGAACATTAGAATTGATTTGAACCTGGATGAAAGCTCAAGGCCGGATGATATAAAACAATTTCAGTATTTAGATATCATTTTAATCTGCTTTAACTTTTATTCATGCTGATTTTTCTAATGTGATCTAGACAGACATTGAGATCGGAGTAAAGTCGTAATTATCTTTCAAACTACAGAAACAGTCAGCAAAATTAATTTGTTGACCCTCAACACCAAATGAAATCTGCTTTAGATATAAAAGACGAGCAGATCAAGAATGTTTGGGTCTGAAGTGTGATGATGAGTTTAGAGTTTAATAAACCTCAAACAGTCTGAAAGTAAAAGTTGGAACAATAAACTTACATTCCTGAACGTCACAGAGAAATCTCAGTGTGACAGATTTTGATATCAGAGGTTTCAGCATCACCAGACCTGAAAATATAAAAATATGGGAAGAGTTTCTCAGTGAAAGTGTCTCTGTGAGTGCAGATGTGAGTCATGTCTTCAGGGTTGTAGAAGGACACCTTCCTCTTGTCATAGTCCAGCTGGACTCTGATCCTCTGGAGACTCTTCTTCACTCTGACAGTCTTACCAACAACATCAGTGTATTTTCCACTGTGATGCCTTAAACACCAGAATCCATATTTTGGTGAGGGAAATGTCTCTCCCTTCCTGTCAACTGACTCTTTAGCCAAACCTACAGTCCAGTCAGGATGGTCTCCCACCTCCACCTCCCAGCTGTGTTTCCCTGAGCTGAAGCCCTCAGAGCCCAGAACAAGGGCATACTTAGTGTTTCTCTCTGGATTGTCAGGAAGCTGCTGGTTTGCGTCTCCACGTCTCACACTGGTCAGATCATCAGACAGATAGAGACAGCAGTTTGCAGTGTTTGGGTCCAGAATGACAGGACTGAAGTGGACCTTGTCCTTCATCTTCTCCCAGACTCTGAAGGACAGGTTGCCCAGGTGTTTGGCCACATCTATCAGCGCTCCTGAGAGCAGCTGTGGATCTGACAGTGAGCGCTGGACTCTGGCTCTGGTCTGAGTGGCTTTATAACTGCTGAGGAATGGCACGCTGGGTTTCTGCAGCTCTTCTTCAACAGCAGAGATCCTGTCTGACAGAGAGGACATCTGCTCCTGAATCTTCTTCATCTCTCTGCTCACAGTCTTCCCCTTCTGCTCCTCTTCCTCCCTCAGAGCTGCCAGTCTGGACTCCTCTTCCTCTTTCAGGAACTGGTGGAGCTTGTTGAACTCTGCTCTGATCTGCCTCTCTGTGGACAACAGCTGCTTCTTGGACTGTTGAATCACTTCATTGTATGTTTCCTCCACTTGTTTGTATTTGTCCCTCTTGTCCTGCAGAGACTCTAAGTCAGATTTCAGCTGCTCCTTCAGGTCCCGGACTGCTTGTTCTACAGGAACCACCTTGTGACTCTGGTGGAGAGAAAACTCACAGACAGGACACACAGCTCTCTGCTCGTCCTCACAGAACAATGGAGGCTCTTCTTTATGTTTACTACACACCTCCTCCACCTTCTTCTCTCCTTTTTCTGTCTCAGATGATCCAGTTTTCTGTCTCTCAGCAAAGGAGTCAGCCAGTTCCTTCAGTGGAAAGTTGACTCCTGGATAATCCTTTGATGATTTTCTTTTACAAATGGGACAGTTTTTGTTTCCAGCTTGTTCCCAGAATTTCTGCAGGCAGCTTGAACAGAAGCTGTGGTTGCAGCTCAGAGACACAGGATCTCTGAAAGTCTCTGAACACACGTGGCAGTTCAGGAAACTTTCAAAAAGAGTTATTTTCTCAGCCATTTGATACTGAAGTTATTTTTCCACAGACTCACCGAGTGAACGTCTCTTCCCTTGATTGTTTCAAATACTCCAAACGTGTGTTTTCCAGCAGAGATCTCTCACCCTGTGATGGCGTCTCAGCTCTGTTCAACAATGTCCAAATCTGCTTTTAGTTTCACTTTCCTCTGTCACGGGCTGAATGAACAGCAGGAAGTGTTGCCATGTCATCTTCTCACCAGCAGATGGCGCAGTCAGGATGTCTGTCAGAGTCAGTACAGGACAGTTTCCATGTACAGGTGTCTGTAGGAAGACAAACACGAAATTGGGTAAAAAATGTGATCTGTAATTTTCTTTCTCTAAATAAAGAATTAAAATGCTCATAAAAAGCCAAACTGTGTTCATTGAATCCAGCTGAACTAAATATAGAACAAGCTGTTAACATGAAAGCAAAAGAAAGCTTTTGTTTAAATTTCATTTCATTTCAACTTGTTCTCATCCCTCAATAAGCCTCTGTAAAATTCACAGGGTAAATATTTTAAACATCACTTTTATTAGCCTTCTGTTTTTGTAAACATTGTGTTACAGTAAATGTACAAATAATAATCATGATGCAGAATCCAGAAAATAAAAGTCTTTCAGTCGAGGTCTATTTGTTTTACTTTCTGGCACATTTTCTCTCCCTTTCATTCATTCATTCATTCATTCATTCTCTTTACCCTCTTATCTACAGTAAGAATCACACGACTTGAGTCATGTTAGTTAAATCCTGCATCAGCTGTATTTATCATTAGAAGATAAAAACTGTAAAAATAATACATGACCACCTCTTCACTTTAAAATTGTTATCCCAATATAAAATTTCGCATCATTTGATGTGAATAATTTCCATGATAAATGTCAAAAAAAAAATCTCTTTCAGGTTTAAAGACAAATTTTTAAAGTTGAAGAATTTTAAAATGTAATCGTGATAATTATCATTATTGTTTTATTGCCCAGCCCTACCTGGACATACAGTCTGTCTGACAAACAGTCTGTGCAGGATGTTTTTTAAAAGACAAATGTGAAACTGCTCTGAGGTGGTGCTGTTGATCAACACTCTCAGTCTATACAACCCTCAGTGCTGCCTGCACTGATACAGATCCTGACATTGCTCTGTATGTACTTCTGTTGTGTCTTATTTTATCCAGCAGTTGAGCAGCAGAAAATGAAATAATGAGAAGCAGAGAAAGTTGCAAAAATTCAGTATTAATCTGTATCTTGTACAGCTGAGGTCTGATGATGCCGCAGCAGCACAAAATAAATGTCAGCCTCTTAGGAGCCAAAGAGACACATTTCTGAGGTATAATTCAATCTGAATAGTTTATTTTAGAGGATTTGACTTGATTTGGTTCCTGATGAAGCAACACTTTAACAGCAGTGATGCATTTCTTAGAGACCCTGGACAGTACGTCTGTAAATCTGAGATTCTGTGAAGGATATTTTTAACAATCAAAATCAAAATCAAAAACTGCAAAGACCAACAGCGAACAACAAAATGTGGCAATGTTTTCTTCTTGGGAACGCTTCTCCATTTCTACAGAAGCTGTGGTTGCAGCTCAGAGACACAGGATCTCTGAAAGTCTCTGAACACACGTGGCAGTTCAGGAAACTTTCAACAAGAGTTATTTTCTCAGCTATTTCTACTATTATCCAAATTAAGACTCACCCCAGAAATTTCCTTCAGTTTGCTGCTGAAAATCCTTTCAGTGTGCCGTTAGAGATCTCTCAGACTGGACAGGCCTTGTGGTTTTGTTCAACAAAGTCAGAATTTGCTTTCAATTTCAACAAGCTTTCTCATCGGTTATTGATTAACGGTTCATGGATCAATGATATCTTTATAATCCCAGAGGAGCTATGTGTTGTACAGTGGTAGTAAATGCAGTCCTGTGTTTTTAATAGCAGCAGATCCAGCAGGATATTTTACAAATTGACCAGTGTCTTAAACACCAACAGGAAGGTGATGTGTATCTTAACAAAATATTTTGACTGTGTTTAAATAAAAATATACTTTGTCACAGTAAAGAGCAGGAATCTGTTGGACACAGAACCAACCACAGACTCTGGAAAGTTGTCATTTACTGTGACGTGAAGGAACATTCAGGAGGTGTGTGAGCGGACATGTTTTTGTGATTAATTATGATTTGCTCATTTGAGCTTTAACATGTATCCACATGAGACTGAAACCTTCTTGCAGTTTATTGCTCCTGTTTGTTGCAGATTACAGCTCTCGCTTATCTCTGGACTTTGTGTGATGATTTATATAATAACATATTATTAAATGCCTGTGCCTGACCTTTGGACACACAAAGCAATTAAAGCAACTGTCCAGAAAGTCAACAACTTAAAAAATGGTTTAGTGTCTGTTTCACTTTATTTATTTTCATTGCAAACCCCCTCAAAACTACAGAAAACACTAAAAACTGAACTCTGTATCTGTTCTTATTAGCGTTTGTAAGACTCACCAGGATTGTGTGGATCATACTGATATATAAGAGCACTATCTGAACTGATGTTGATTTATTTTGCAGTGACTGTGTGAAATAGTACTTTCAGCTGCATTGATAACTGTTACTCACAGAGAAGTAACAGGCAGTAACTTGAAAGAAACTGACTTCCTTCCCAGCAGGGAAGAGACCACCTTCACCTTGGCTGCTGCAATGGCATCAATAACATTTGTAATTTTAGAACTGAAATTATCTACAAGCTCATGGACTGAGGCCCGTGAGAGGGCGTGTCGAGGAGAAAGCCTCAATAAATTTTTCACTAGTGTTCTCAGTGATATGCCGTTTTGTGATCACCTCTATTTTAACATTTGTGTGCACGCAGACAGCACTCTCAAAGAAAACACAGGAATGATCAGAGAGAGCAACATCAGTCACCACAAGCTTGGAAATGTTCAGACCCTTGGAGATGACCAAGTCCAAAGTGGGCCCCTTATTGTGCGTGGGCTCCGTCACATGTTGGGTCAGTCCATAATTATCAAGAACACAACTCGGTTCTTTAGTCCCTCTGTCCTGGGGGTTGTCAACATGGATGTTAAAATCACCAACAATAACTACTGTTTTGACAGAAGCCCCGAATGTAACTCAACAACAGCATAAAAAATATTTTCCATAATGATATGCAGTCAGGCACACATAGACACAAAAGGGGCTTCAGCACCTGCCCTTTTTTCTGGGATGCTTGTTTGTGTTTTTTGCTGTTGTTTTTAAATAAATGAATATACAGTATATTTATTCCTGTTTGCAACAGATTCCCTGTCAAACAAATATATTTATTGGGAAAAAAATCTAAATAGGCCATCAGGTCAGAAGATGAGACTTTGGAGTTTGATGCCTCTCTCTCTCTCTCTCTCTCTCTCTCTCTCTCTCTCTCTCTCTCTCTCTCTCTCTCTCTCTCTCTCTCTAAGGCAATATCTCATGGCCTTACAACCTAATGTACTGATGGAGACACTACAGGTGAACACAGTAACATTTGTGTCTGATAACGTCATCACAATCGCCACATTTATATGCAAATTAGGCGTTAACTAATTAAAATGTGCTACTTTGCACACATTTGACAAGTCACTGCAGGTGAATGGGATAAAGAAAATAACTAAAGCATATCAACACAGAACTTCCCCAGTTAATGACTTCCATCAAGAGTATTTTCCTCTGAAATGTGCTGTGTAAATGTGCAGATTAGCTTGTTTTGGGTAATATAGAAGAAATCTATAGATGCAAATAGACCGAGGGTATTAGGCTTAAAACCAACTCCATCTAAATGTTTATTCTTGAAGTTTTATTTCCATTAGAGTAAAAGAAGACATGGAAGCAAAATAGACCAAAGTCTCAAAATTGACCACTCCATGAAAAAAGCGCCTTAAAGAGTAACTTCATAGTTTTGATGCTCGACTCCTCATCTAATAACTCTGCATTCTGTTGTATGCTGAGAGATCCTCATATAATACAGACAGCCCTCCCTCAAAAACTAAGTCCATGTCACCATCAGTAATTGTGTGTGTGTGTGTGTGTGTGTGCATGGTAAATGTAATATAATAGCAACAATAATAAAGCATTTGATCAATACGTTAGTGTATTCAGGCAATTCAGTATTCTGTTGCTTGGCTGTGTGAAGCTGAAGGTTATCTTTACTCATTTGGCATCTGGCTTGTGAAACTAAAAGTAAAAGTATTTAAATAATATTTATTTTAATTCTGCCTGCAGCCCAATGCAAACATAATGTAATTTATGCTAATATATATACTTGAAACTAGTAGCATAGAAAACATGCACATTGTGGCAAAGTTTCCTTTGCTGTCGCCTGCTGCTGTGATAAACCTGGTGAATACTAAAGAAGACCGTGGTCTCTGTCTGAACTGATCATTTTGTAGAAAAGTAAAAATGTTGTTGAGTTAATGTATTTGTCTTGTCTTAAAAAATGCCCTTTTTTTCACTTGAGCCCCTGCCCACCAAAAAGTCTGTGCACTGTCCCTGTATGCAATAATCTTCATGACGCAGCCTTGTCGTCAAAGAGCGGAGGCTACTCGCAATAATGTTGCTGCATTATGTTTGAAGTTCACGCAACGCCTGCTGCAAAATTGTAATCAATAGCCTACATTTAAATCTAAATGTTGTCTAGTCATCGTATTAACACGAACGGTTGACAGTCGCCGCAAAGTAGTGAGAAAATATGATGCCACGTGACCGCGACGCAGACACCTGACGTTCAGGGTAGCGCTTGTAGTGTGCTGCCGTTTCTGTCCCCCCCGCTGTGAGACACTACTGTTTCACTGTCTCCAGGATGCTTCATTCCCTCTAAAGCGGCTGTGAGCTGCACGTTAAAAGTGAACATTTGTGTGGAACCGTGGTGATGTTTCTGTCTGATCACAAGTGTTTTCAGTTTCGGTTTTCTTTCTCTGGTGAGGAGCAGTGCGCTCCTCTCATCGAGTAGGCTACAAGTCAAATCATTTCTTTACATAGAAAAATGGGCAACGATCGTCCCATAAAGCATATAATACTGACATTGGGCTGGCCCAATCACTCCCTCCCCCTCTGCTCCAGCTGTTTCAAATGCGCGAAAATAACCGATTTATAGATATGAACTAAAAAAAGAATAAGCTACTGATTGATGTCCTTCCCTTTATAAAAATAAAGACATTTCCAACATAAATTGGTGCAGAAAATGTCTCCAGAATTCAGGAAATTAAGTGTTTAATGGTCAAAATCTTCAGGGGGAGGACCCCCAGACCCCCCAATATTTCATTAATAAATGTTTTT